TTAATAGCAGCCTTCAACTCCCTGACGGGTGGATCCAAAGAGAATGGAACTGGACTGTTCTCAGCAGTGACAGATGGCAGAAGAAGGAGCAATGGGTTCAAGTTGCAGCAAGGGAAGTTTAGGTTAGATAAAAGGAAAAACTGTCTCACCAGATAGGTAGTAAGGCATTGGAACAAGTTACCCAGAGAGGTTGTGGACTTTCTGTCCTGGGAGGTTTTTAAGACCCAGGGAGACAAAGCCTTGGCTGGGATGATCTAGCTGGGGCTGGTCCTGCTTTGAGCAGGGGATTGGACTAGGTGTGACCTCCTGAGGTCCCTTCCAACCCTCATTTTCTCCGATACTCTGATTCCACCCAATACAGATGGTGGAACTGGAGCATGAGTTTATGAAGCTTTTCATGAGGCAGCTGAGTTTCACGCATGCTTCAGGAAGGGGGATTCTTGGCGAGATCTAAAACTTGAAGAGTGATAGGAACACCAGCCTGCAGCCAGCGAGTAATGAATCGCAAAATGATTACAAGAAAAGACAGCACAAAGGGAGAGAAGAAGTGATCCGTGACAGCTGAGACCGACTTCAACACAGCCGCTGCGGAGGAGAGGCATGTGAAAAGAGACGAGTCATTTTGCAGCGGGAGGTCAGTCATCTCCTCTTTGGTCAGCATGGCGACCACCTCCACTAGCTGCTAGCTCCTTTGCCCAGAAAGGGCAGTGTCTCTGCACACATTCACCCTAAAAACCCCTATTGATGCCATCAGTAAGATCTGAGCACATGTGCAGACCACACTGCAGAGATTAATCCCTGGGAAAGGTAGAATTCTGCCTTTGATTTCTTCCTGACTTACCAGGGCAATACGCCTGCTGCCGCTCAGTTGGTGAAACAACCGCTGGTCCACAGCAAACACTAGTTAACGTGCTGTAAAGAACAATCCTGAATTAGCCAAGAGCTGGCCAGAGTGTCCTAACAAGCCTTGTCCATGTCTAGCATTCTCTGGAGACCCACGGCTAATCAATATATTTAGCAGAAGCTATGGGATCATGGGCTCAGAAATGGAAGACTCCATTTAGGTCACCCAAAAACCCCCATTCACATGCTCCAGGAGAGAACGTCCCAGCTTCAAATGTTAATGCAAATTTGGGCTTTGTGGCCCAAATGCTTAGTTAGCTGCATTTGGGCCACAAAGAAGGGGCGTGAGCCCTTGAGGGCATTTATAAAGGAAAGAAATCATTGCAATGCTACAAAATAAAGGCATAATTAGCTTGGTTTTGTAGACCTCAGTGGTGATGAGCACAGGTGCTCATATCAGAGTCCCTCCCACACCCCACTGCAAGGGAAGGGGGTGCTAGAAGCCAGATTCAAATCAAATCCATCTAGAAAACCACTCTTGGCCCAAAGCGGCCCGAGCTAGTGGAATCAATCATCAGAACAACTTCTTGGGGGAAGCAGTCAATTCTCTGTCCCTTGGAGGCTTTAGATCAAGGTTGGGGTGTCTTTCTAAACAGGCCCTCCCGTGTGATACAAGAGGTCAGACAGGATCATTGCAAAAGACCTTTTCCAGCACCAAAACCCAGGGCTGAAATCCTGGACTTGCTGAAGTTAATGAGAATTCTGCATTGGATCCGACTGGACTGGGGTTTCAAGCTCTGAATCCATTGGGCAGCGCCCATCCTGATCTCTGTTTCCAGTCACAAATATGGAGATGCCTGGTAAAGGAAGCTAGCTTCATAATAATTATCGAATAAGCTTTTTGGGCCTGTGGCCAAGCTAGCGTTCACTTTCATGGGAATCAAGGTGGGAAACAAGGTGACCCACATAACAGGAGTGTCATTTCCAGGAAGATTTGCATCACTTGGGGAAAATCACACCCAATCTGCACCTACATCTTCATCTTTAAAATACTAGATTGTTTTCCATCGGGCTTAAGCAGCACTTTGCTTGTGTTGTTCTCTTTGCAGACCTGAATGACCTGCTCTGAGATCTGACCTTTTCTGGAAATGACACTCCTGCTGTGTCAGTCACCTTGTTTCCTATCTTGATTCCCATGGGAGTGAACACTAGCTTTGCCACAGGCCCTAAAAGCTTAGTAGATCATTATTATTAAGCAAGCTTCCTTTACACAGCATCTCCATTATTTATGACTGGAAATAGAGATCAGGATGGGCATTGCCCAATATTATACTACTCATAAGAATTCAGTGTGGCTATGAGTATTGATGGGCTTGTGAGCTCTATCTTTGTAGCTCTTGTCCATTTTAGCTTAATTTTATTTTTTTAATATCCTTGTTTTAAACCATTTCACACCCCATCAAGTCCTCCGGCTGTACAAACTCCCACATTAGCATTTGTTTGCACTTGTTTTGTCATTTCAGATTGCAAAAACAAACATGCCATGAAGCTCCCAATTAGTTTTTTACGGCATTATTAATTAGTATCCCTAAAAATAAAGCCTGGCATGAAAACCGGGAAGATAACTGTGCTCAAAACTGCCAAGCTGCCACCCTAAAACCCACCAGAATCCCACATCCTCCTAGCAAAGGAATTGCTGTCAGATTCTTTACCGTGCTGGAGATGCGGCACTCGCAAACAGATGGCAGAATCCAAGGGCCTCTGGAGCTGGTGGCAGATTGCAGGGACAATTCAAGCCAAGTGTAACTGGGTCAAATCTAGGTCATTTCTGCATCGCTTTCACTCCTGAAATTCATTTTTATCTCTACGTGAATTGTGTGTTCCCAGCACAGGGAGAAAAGTGCAGTTCCTGACCTAAGACGGTTCCAGTTTAAGACGTGATATAGCAGGTGGAAGATGACAAAGGTGAGATAGGGCAGGGGAGGAAAGAGTGGGTCTACAGAGTAGGGACAACTTCCTGCATACTGGGGCCAAGGGTTTTTTGGAGGAATCTGTGATTTCAAAGGCCCAGCTGGAAGCACTTTAAAAGGACGTGATATTCAGATAGTCCCCGTCCTCTGAAAACCTTTGGTGGCACCTTGAGTTGGGCACCCAAAAACAGAGATATCACCAAATCATCTCTAAGATCCTCGCTCTCTTCCCTCCGCAGTGAGACTTCATTTCCTCTCCTTTCCTTTTCTGTTTTAGGAACACCAGAAGGGCAGGGCTCACTACAGAAAAGAGGTCCGGCCAGATCCTCAGCGTAGATCAGCAAGGAGAAATTCAGCAACGAAGAGAGGAACAAAACCAATGTGGGTTGAATACCGTTGCAATTCGTTTATACATCAGCCCTACTTGCTGGCTCCGTGCTGTTTGTGCGAATGGCTTTTATCATGACTGATGAGAGTGGGCTGCTGCTTCCAGGCATTTTGTTGTTACAGCAAACCTGCCGTGAGACGAGGAGCTATTTGACATACCACCTGTGGATGGTTAGGGGGCATGTTCCAAATAGGTTCTGTGCTCTGATTTTCCAAAGAGGTCACAACCAAACACAGGTGATCAAGCAGGGCCAGATTAACCCATTAGTGGGCCCTAGGCAAACAAACTTGAGACCCCCTTCTCCACCCTGGTGCTGCTGCCCATGGGGAGCAGGGCTCAGAGCCTCTGCGAGGAAGCAGCCATGATGCCGACAAGGCCAGTGGAGGGGAGAGGAAGGGAAGGGAAGGGAGGTGGATGGGCCATTCATGCTACCGCCGCGGAGACCCCACCGCTCAGGGCCTAGTTTGCCTCGGTATCCAGGTTGTAGCCTTATTGGTCTAGAGGAAAAAGCAATCAGGACTCATGGTAGAGGTGATATCTTTTATTAAACCAACTAGATTTTTGCAAAAAAAAAAAAAAGCCTTCATTGCAAGCTTTCAGGCACAAACATCCTTCTTCAGCCATAGGAGAAAAAATTGTAAAAGTTTTTCTGGGTAGAAATGAAAGTTCGTATTTCATAGGTGAGTCGAAGGTGTGGCCAAATCTCCTGTCTGGAACAGTTCATTTTCTATGCGGGTTAGGCTCAGAGAAAAGTTGGAATAGTCTGTTTACCTCAAAGTTGTTTGGTGGGAAGCAGGATGTAGTCGCACTTCCTTCTGGTTATGATGTTTCATATTTCACAGAGGGGTATACAGCTGGAATGCTCTTCAGGGCAGGCATTTCTTATGTGGTGAGGTGTCTCTGAGCTCTGCGGTGAGGCTCTGTGATGCAGATTTTGCACCATCTTCTGTTCATGAAGAAACCCCCAAACTCCCTCATAGGATAAGAGACAGGTACAGAGAATGTCAAGCATAAACCAAGAAGGAGAGATGTACAAAGATGTATTAGCAGTCCCTATTGCAGTCAACTATGAGATGCTGTTTTATCAGCTGCTTTGAGTTACATATCAAGCACCAAAACCTAATGCTTCTTGAAGTCAATGGAAAGACTCTGCAGGAAGGACTTGATATGACGGATGTATTTATAAATAGTTTATAAAAAGAATTGCTAAATGATCCATAGGTAGTTGAATAAATGGTTCATCAAGAGTTATAGACTTCAGAAGTTCAATAGGATGCTTACAGATGGGTCTTTGAACTGCTCAGCCCTCTTCCACCAATGTGCTTAAACCATCACCTATCACCCATGTCTGCCGCATGCCTACAACACGTGCTACACTTTGATTAACCCCTTTCAGACTACTGATTGGAACTGCCCAGGAAATGGAAAACATTTGTGGGGGGAAGTTTAAAAAAAAATTGTTTTGCCATTGAAAAGATAGATGTCTGCAAGACTCTGAATGGTTCTGCTATTTGTCAGTGTATGTGTCACATCCAAGTGTGATCTTGGTTTTAGTGAGCACTGGATGGAGCCCTTAGAGAGCTTATTCTGCCAAGCCTGTAATTGCATTGCTATCTTTTCTTCAAAGCTGACTTTACTGTGAAATCCTGCAAGATGCAGAATGGCACTTTGGTGAGTATAGGGGCACTGAGGCCACTGGAAAATTAAATGAGTTGATGACAACTGCACTGCAGATCCTGAATGCAGGTAGGGCAAACTTCTCCATTCACCAGCACTTCCTAGGGGTGCGACCATCCTCCCTATATCAAGTGGACAGTCCTGAACGTAATCTGTCCTGAGGAGGTTATATTAACAACCTGGTTCTTCTCCTGGGTGGAATGAGACCAGCTATTAGTCACGTTCTCTACTGGCTTGCTAGGGAGCCCCTTGGTCTGGTGCTGGGTGGCAAGCTCCCAGCACCTCTTGGCAACCAGGTAGGATATCTCACAGAGGTTGAGGACAATGCACAGGGTAGCGGTGGCCACCATGAAGTAGGTGAAGAGTTTCTTCTCGGTGGGCCTTGCGATGAAGCAGTCGACCACATGAGGGCAAGGCAGCACAGAGCACTCCATGACTCGAGGCATGTCGAAGTTGGTGTAGAGCCGGTGGAAGATGTAGAGGAAAGCTGCATCTGTGGAAGCCTTGAAGACCAGGCTGAGCAGGTAAGTCCACCACAGGCCTCCCCGCTTCTTGCCTGGGTTGAGATGGAGCTGCTGGCTGTTCTTCCCTGCTCCTGTCTTCCTACGCTTCTGCTTCCGGCCTTCCCGGTAAGCCACGTGCATGGTCACCAGGAGGGAAGGGCAGGTGACGAAGATGAGCTGCAGGGCCCAGAGGCGGATGTGTGAGATGGGGAAGAAATGGTCATAGCAGACATTGGTGCAGCCGGGCTGGAGAGTGTTGCACTCAAAGTCCCGCTGGTCATCAGCCCACACCTGCTCCGCCGCTACCACGTAGACCAGGAAACGGAAGACAAAGACCACAGAGAGCCAGATGCGCCCCAGGGCTGTGGAGTACTTGTTCACCCCACTCAGGAGGTCCTGCAGTGAGGACCAGTTCATCCCGTCCTCTGTGGGGAGTGGAGCAGGAGCTGGAAGGGAGGCAATGACAGTGGAGTGAGCTGGACTGAGTCAGGACTTGAGGGCTACACCGTAGCTCGAGCTATGCATGCACAGAAGGGAATAAGGCCCCCCAGACCTCAGTGTGGCCTACACATACCCAAGGAGTCTGGTGCTTTAGCTAGTGGAGAAGTAAGAGCCTTGGCTTCTTTTCCCCACAACAACTCTCTGGCCAGCCCAACCGAGCTAGTACAGGGAGAAGACCTGCTAGTGATTTATTATTACTTGTACAGACCCGAAGTAATGTGCTACCTTACCCAGAGTGAGTGAGAGACAGTGTTTCAGAGGCGAGTCTCAAGTGACAAAGCCACCAATCCTCCTGTTGTGCTGAAGCATCTGACTCCCCCTTGCTCAGAGCTGTGTCCAAAAAGCATGATTTGCTTTTGATTTGTGGCTCTGGCACTAGAAACCCTACTCTCTCCTGACCTCAGCTACCATCCAGCAGAGACCAATGCCAATGCTATACCTTCCCTTGTGCTCACCTGCTCATCAGAGCCATAAGAGAGGATTAAGATGAAGCCCAAGGACACTGGAAAGCTAGTGATGGGGTCAGGGCTCAGGACCTCTCTATCTGGCACTTGGTGCTCTAGGATGGCAGTCGCCCTTGCCCAAACCCAGTTGCACAACCTACGTTCCAGGAAGGCCCTCATATATCTGACTCCATCCTGGAACAACAACACACTTCTGCTGAGTGGGAATGGGTGGTGCATTGGCCTGGGCTGGGTGTCTGAATGGGGCTGTATCACACCCTCAGTCTGTGTGAATTGCACTAATTTCCCTATGCTGGGTTTCACATGGTCTGTGATTATTAGCTGGATCCTCCCAACTCATGCAGCCATCCTCAAAGTATGTTGAGCACAATGGGTGCAGTTGTCTTTGAAGAGGAGAACATGAAATGCCAGGCAGTGTTGCCTCTGGGCATGAAGGCCTCATAAATGCAAGAGACTGGATCTGACTTGTGGAATCAGAAAAAATATGCGCCTTAAACTTTGACTATTTTAGTTATAAGATGACATAACCGCTTTGTGGAGAATTGCTGGCTCTGTATAGTAGAACAGATAAGAGAAAGTGTTTGTTCTTTGTAACTCCTCTGCAACTGCTTCGCTCACCGCGGCCTTGAAGATAGCAAAAAGTATGTACAACTCTGATTTGCAGGTGCAAGAAGGAGGTTTGTGAACTAACCTCGCCTCCCCCATTAGTTCCCATCCTGATTACAGCAAAGAAATAATGAAGTAATGTTATAGCCGCTTTTCATGCTAATTTCACTATATGATCACGTGAGTTGTAAGCAACTGTTAAAAAGTATATAAGCCTCCTGATTTTGCTCTTGTGGGGGGACCCCTTCCAAGTGCTTGGGAGATCCATGTCACTTTGGAGTCCCCCCTACAGCTGTAGTTTCTTTTGAATAAAAGCTTCTGCTGACCTGACCCAAAAGTATGCTGCGTGTGTTTCCACGACAGACTCGACACTTCACATCATAAGGTGATATATGAAATTCTTTCCCAAATTCTCTTAAAGAGACAGGGAAAGGGATCAGAAGATAAGTTCCTTTCTCTCTCTCTGTTCGTCTAAAGGCCAAGGTTTTCCTTGGTTTTGGGTGCTCAACTTGAGGTGCATTCAAGGGTCTTGACTTTCAGAAAGTCATTGCAAAATGAACTTTGCGAAACCATCTCCGTCCAGACACCTGAAAAAAAATGGAGGTACCTCAGATGACTTGTTGTTAAGAATAATCTTGGGCTCAGACTGTAATAGGAACCCATTTTCTTCTCTTGCAATCCTGTTAGCAGTGGAGAAATGGCTATAGGAGCTTTGCAAGTACATGGAGAAAATAATCACATCCTCTAAATAAAGAGAAACTAATAATAAATTGAACTTCATGTTCAATGTTAATGGCACTTATGAGTACATTTACGATGAAATTACTGTTAATTATTCATTCTAGCTAATGTTCAGTTACAGCTGATGGCCTCAGGAATTACAGCACAGCCTGAATCACTGAAGAACGCACCATATTACTGCAATAAAGTAGGATCATATTTTGCCATTTAGCCTTATTGTTTAATCAATGCTTCATTTTTTTCCCTCTGCAAGGGGTGGTTATATTTTGTTAGTGTGTTTTCATAGGGCTCCTTTGATAGATTCCTTAGTCCATTGGTTTACCACTGGCCTCAAGCTATAAAACCTTTCCTCACCTGAGTAGGCCTTGCTGAGATGACTAGTCCCATTGGCTGCTCAGGAGTGCAAGAAGGAGGACACGCAGGAAGCGGCTTCAATTGTCCTTCCTCCTGCAGCACCCTTGTGTTGAATAAGTATGCTACTTGGCAAGTAGACCATTGAAGGCAAGGTGCCATTCAATATAAGAGTGAGGGAATGTGGCCCTGCATGCACTTGATAAATGAATGAAAGTGGTATTTAATGGGATCCTATTATAGAACCCATTGTAATGGAGAATGGGTTCCTAGTATAATCTGAGCCCATGATTTTTCTAAACAACATGACTGTATAAACCATGTACGTGTGAGTAGGGGAGTATGAGCTAGCAGCACGCTGGGAGGTGGGACTGGGGTTCATTTCCCCTATGCACTGTTCTATACCCTTCAGCTGACCCAGGCTCTTTTCTGTCCCCCCGCACCCCTTTGGGCTGTCTTCTTAGGGACAATAAGGTCTTCTTTGAAGGACACTCTCTCTCATTCTGTATACATCCCATACCTAGGGATGGCTCAGGGGTTGGCTGGTGCATTAAGTGGATCTGTTTCCATAAAGAAGAATGGGCAGACATCTCTTTCCTCCTGGTTGAGAGGAGAGAGATACCGAGCCCAGACTGGACTTCAGTTGGGGCTGTCACCTAGTAAAAGGGAGACATGACCCAAACCAGTCTCTCCAGTACTCCCTGTAAGGGTCCTAATCCCTGGGCTGCAGAGTCCATCCCTATGTGGCCCAATATTTATTTGTACAAGATTCAATATTTGTACAAAAAGGATCAATGCCCATCAGAGAGACTGAGAGCCCTGTCCAGTATCTGAGTGGCAAGGGCCCTGTCCACAAGACACTCACCCAGCCCACAAGAAATTCAGCTCCAACATGCTTGATGAGTGCTCCTCACCACCACTGAGCTCTTGACCCAGGCTGGGTCTAGCTTTAATTCTTCATGGGAAATAGAGCAAGGTCTCACTGTCATACCCAGGCCAAGTGGCAACTGTTTGAAATCACTATGGGGTGTAGGTTGTAGCTGTGTTGGTCTAAGGACATAGGCAGACAAGGTTCTTTGGGAAAATCTGATATCTTTTATTAGACCAACTCAAATAGTTGGAAAAAAAAAAAATTCTTCTCTTAACCCTTTCCTGCCCTGCTCTAGACACACCTAGAGCAATGGAGAACAGATATTGGCTGGTGATTTCGGCAACACAATACATAATAGTGTTACACTGCAAGGAGGCTGACTGCATTTGGAGTTTGATCTCTTTGCACCGATTCACGGACATCTATTTCCATCCAGTGACTATACTGTGCTGGCTTTCACTCCTGACACCTGATGAAAAAATGCCTTGCATACAAAAACTTGTTTAACTCTATCCCAACTATGCAGCTGGTTAAATAAAAGATACCACCGTAAGAGATCTTTGCCTCTTGCATCCAATTCTCAACATTTGTTGGGTGTTAGTGAGAAAGCAGAAGCAAATATGGAGCTAGCAGAGGACACGGACAGCTGGCAACCAAATCTTCAAGAAAAATGGACAAAAAACCCCATAGTCGTACTGTCCAGAAGTTGAAGTGTGAGGCATGGACTATATTTTTTATATATATTTGTACAGCTGATCACAGTGCTTGGGACAGGGGCTCTGGAGCCTTGTTATATGGTAATTTTGGGAGGCTCCTGGAGCTCTTAACACCTGGATTGTCAGCACATTAACACCTGAAACTAGTTTTAACCATTCATTAGGCAGCTCAAAGTTATGTTATTCAGCGCAGGATTATCTCTGATCTCTGTTACCCACTTTGTGTTACACTAAGGTGCGGCCACTCTAGGCTACACCTGTGTGAACACCCCACCCTCCCCTCCTCCCCTGATCAGGCCCACTGCCCCCCTTGCCCTCCCAACCCCCCAGATCCCTGCTCACCGCCCCCCTCGCCACACCCCACTTATTTGGGGAGCCCTGCAGTGGTGGGGGGGCTGGCAGGTTAACCCTTCCCTGCCTGTTCCCCATGGACAGATAGTGTGGGCAGCCACAAGCAAAGGGTGGTGGGGAAAATGAGGGAGCCAGGGGCAGGGGGGAAGCCTGTTATGGGAGGGGAGGGGGATTTTTACCTTTCGGTCCTCCAGGCCCCTGCTGGTCTGAGCATGTGGCTGCTCCAAAATCAAGTTAGCGCTAACACCCATCGACATGCGTGTGGCTCACAGCATAAGGCATAAAAAATACACATACCCAGACCCACCACAGCCCATGTAGCCACTTGAGGGTAAATTCTAGGCTGGTTTGTAGAAGTTGAAGTTTTATAACCCTGCATGAACAGCCCCTTCAAATACAACTCCATCCTCCACCAACAGTATTGCACATCACCCAAGAAAGCCCTTTCTCCCCTCTACATAGCCTGATCTCTTACCTGCCTCTTACCTGATACCACTGAAGCTATGCCATGGCAGGAGGGAGAGAGTCCTCTCTGCTTTTGTTGAGGGTATTACTGGTGATGACCTGGTGAGGTTTCCACCTGCTGGGTGTGCCGGCCTTTTGCCAATAAGCTCAGCAGCTCTTTTTAGAGACTTTTTTCTTCCTCCTAAAGCCTAGAGTCATAGAAAAAACATTAATGTGACATTATCACTGAGCATTATGGCTCATATCCAGCTCTGAGTGAACTCCATGGGAGGTTTGCCATTGAACGCATTGACAGAAGGATTCAGGCTTCCATGGGTAGCGAGATGCTACACAAGGCATGTTGGCAAAGCGATGACACACTGCCCTTCTGAAGCACACATGCCAGGGTCCAATCCAACTCTGGCAGGTTGGTGTTACCTCCATTTTGCAGCCACACTACAGGAAGGAAGGAGGAACTGAACCAGTATCTTGTAGCATGGCTACTGTGGTTCGCAGTTGGATGTATGGGTGGGTTTCTGGACATCCCTAAGGCTATTATGGGTGGTGTTGGGGCACAGATCCATGGCTGTGTAGCACAGACAGAACCAAGTACCCCACAAATAATACTGCTTTATAGGAGTAAAGTCATTGATAAAAGGAAATTGGTTCCCACTCCTCCAGCTTTTCCTCCAACCACTCCCAGCTGCCTAGGCTAATGAAAGGCATGTAGCTATAGGGATACTGCTTTGATAAGGCTTTCCTTCTGGTTTCCAGCATTTTTTTCCCATGCAATTTCCTTTTTAATAATATCTAGAAAATTGTGGTCTGGAATTAGTACAAAGCAGGCTACTCCCAAGTCACATCCAGGAGACAAGGAATTGCCAGACCAGGTGGGACCTGAGGTCCATCCTGCCTCTCACAGTACCCGGGACCAGACGCTTCACTGGAAGATGCAGAAGGGATGTGTTTCCAAAGATGACGTAGCTCTTCCTGAGAAAATGGGATTGATACCACTCACCTCAGCAAACAAGCTTCAGTGAAGCCCAAATGGCTTATCTGAGGTGCGCCCAAAGTACTTGTGATAAAATCCTGTTTTCAGACATGGGGTTTTATTGATTTAAAAATGAAACAGAAAAAGAAGACATGCGCCAGTTCTTTAAATAGATGCTTTTATTAGTGGTAAGAATCAATTGGCAATGGACACATATGGGGCCAGACCAGCAGCGAGTGTAACTTAGGATTGGTCCATTGACTTCAGTGCAGTTATGCTGATTTACACCAGCTGAAGACTTGACCCTTAACATCTAGAATACATGTTGGCTTTATATATATCTTACATATATATAAGAATACATGCCGGCTTTATATATATCTTACATCCACAGCAGCTAGGTTTGCAACCACCATCAGTGCAACATATTCTACATTAGCTCCGAGGCAGAATGAGAGTAACGTTCAACCCCCTATGTACAGATCGTCCCTGAAATGCAGCAGTTTTCTAGGGTGGAAAACAGCAGCTGTCATGAGCCAGAGATTTTAAATCTGTTTTCCTTCGAGAAGGGGAAAGAGAAGAGTATGAGCAGTTAGGTCAGCAAATCACAGTTACTGGAGTGGATATCCAGTGTATATTGTTACTAGGCAATTACTCGGAAAGATGCTACCAAAAGAGGTTACCACAGAAAGGACTGGGTGGAGGATCCCACACCAGAAGGTTGGACTAAATGGTCACGGCTGATTTTTAAAGGGCAGGTCCCTTTCACAGATAACAGGAGAATGGGTTTCCCATCACCAAGTGCCCATATCACCAGGCTGTGAATCCAAGGCACTGCAGTCTATTAAGAATTCCCCCCCCTGCAGATGGTAAAACATGGCATTATTTCCCTCTTCCCACTAGGCTCCGAGAGAAAATACCCCTGTGGCATGAACCTCCCCCCTCCCCAGGAGCAATCCTGGGCTAGGTCAGGTTTCTCCAGCTTCATCCCACCATTTTCCATTGCATCTTTGAGATATAGAAGAGAAGTGCCCACCCCAGCTGGAAAACCTGCCTTGTTCCTGCTGCCTTCTCAGACACTTTCCCTTTGCCCGTTGATGAGGCTTTTACAGTGAGGATGGGCAGATGACACAGCAGGGCACAATCCTTTTGGAAAGCTCAGTGGAAGAACTGCCCAACTGCACCATACCAGGGATTCAACTAGTCTGTTATCCTGTCAAAAAAGCTGCTTGCACCGAGTGATTTATAGGAAGGTGCAAAGAACCATGTCATTTCCTAGGTCTAAACCCCATAGCTCTGGCCTCTTTTGCTCTACCACATACCTCCCCCCTTAACTCCTGCTCCTGATTTCCCCCAAACCCACACAGTGTGGGTGGAGCACCCAAAGTTGCTTACACCCAGGCACGTAATAAGAGCAGCTGCTGTTCCCTGGGTTGATTGCAGAGCCAGGTCTGAGCTTAATCAGAACTTCTTGACCCTGCTGTCCAAGCTAATGAAATCTAAAGTCACCACCAGCAAGGAGGCACTGGTTTCCACCAAGGGCCATGAAGAGCATGCCTCCCATCAGTTGTCCATCCCTGCGTGAATCCCAGACCTCCTTTAGGAAACAGCATCTGTTCCCTTCTGGGAGCTGGTAGGGATTGGAGCAATGGGTAGCTTGTAATCAGTCCCATGGAAAATCTGCCTGCCCAACTCGAGACCGCTTTGCTCGCCATGGGCACAGCAACAGTCCTTGTCAAGCAGTCTCTCATCCCTCCTGCTGCCTTTTCTCGTAGACAGCTTCTCCCTGCACCTTTTCCCCACAAGGTAGCAGGCCTCCATGAGGCTGAGCAGGATGCACACGCAGGCTGTGATCACCATGAAGAAGGTGAAGATATTCTTCTCGGTAGGTCTGGAGATGTAGCAGTCCACGATGTTGGGGCAGGGGGGGATCTCACACCTCACCACGCTGGGCAGGGTATAGTTCTTGTAGAATCGGTAGAAGATGTAGAGGAAGACCACATCCACGGTGGCCTTGAAGATGAGGCTGAACAGGTAGGTCCACCACAGGCCTCCCCGCTTCTTGCCGGGGTTAGGATAGAGCCGCAGTTTGCCCTGCCCCTCTGCCTGCCGGTGCTTCTGGTCCTGGGCTTTGCGATAGGCCACATGCATGATGACCAGCAGGGATGGGCAGGTGACCAGGATGAGCTGCAAGGCCCAGAGGCGGATGTGGGAGACAGGGAAGAAGTGGTCGAAGCAGACGTTTCTGCAGCCCGGCTGGCGCGTGTTGCAGTCAAAGTCGCTGTGGTCATCGCTCCACACCCGCTCGGCTGCCACTATATAGACCATCACCCGGAAGATGAAGACCAGGGAGAGCCAGATGCGGCCAAAGACAGTGGAGTACTTGTTCACCCCACTCAGGAGCCCTTCAAATACGCCCCAGTTCATGGTCCCTGGCTCCTGTTACCTGGGCCTGGAAAAAAAAAAGGAAGAATGAGGTGCAACCAACACAGAGACCCACTGGCTGAGCCGCAATCCAGGAGTTCATGTTCTTGCTTTAATCACTTGACTCCCCTCCCATAATGGGAAATAGGACTCTGGAGTTCGGGCTCCAGCCCTTCACCCAAGCGCTCCTCCCAGAGCTGTGACTACAGCCTAAAAGATCCCCATCCTCTCCAGTTCTAACCACTGGACCCTACTCCCTTCATTACTGGGAAGACTACCCAAGCAGTGCCAACTCCCAGTCCCCCTTTCCCACTTCTCCAGCTCCTAAAATGCACTCCCTCTTGGTGTTAAAATTGGACCCCAGTGTGTAGGCCACATCCCAGATAGGCAGAGTATGCTATGAGACACCAATAGCCATAGCTGTGGTCCAGACCAGGAGTCTTGCCGAAGTCAGGGAACGGGGTAATCCTGGGAAGGATATCAGACAGGCCAGCATTGCTTATTTTAACAAAGAGGCTCAATTCTGCCTCCAGCAAAGACTGGAGAGCCTCAAGTCCTCAAAGCAGGGCTCATGGTTAGTGTGATTCAAACAGTATGTGGGCCTTGAGCTGGCTCTCAGCCCCAGGCTAGGCTTTCCCTTGGGGCTTGCTGTGTTTAGGATGTCCAGTAAAAGTTTGCTGGCACTTAATGGGTCAGAGGACCCTTTCCTACAGTCTCTTAAGCTGCTGTGAGCAAGTCTGGGAAGGTACGAATAGCAGGCATACTTATGTGAAGTCTGCACTTCAAGTACTCAGTATGAATCTCTCTCTCTCGCGCACACACACACACACACACACACTTCTGAGTTGGGAACGCAAGTTGAGGAGGTCTAATTTAGCACAGGAACTGAGGCAGGGACTCCTGGTGCTCCCCTCAGAGAGCATCTTCCCTTAAGGGCCTCTTTTTGACATGCAAAGACAGGGTGAGTTAGGAAAGGAGGCTCGTTCTCATGAGTCCCAAGGTCCGGGCAGGCAGTTCTGCTGTCACCGAGCAAGGTTTACCCAATTCACCACAGTTCCTGCCTTAGCCCCAAGGATGAATGATGCACAGGTAGTGGAGATGCCACAACTTCCCTTGCTGGGAAGCTGGAGTGACTTCTTTCCGGACTTTGACTCCCTCCCAGGTGTGGCAAGGAGGTCAGGGTTGTGGCTGTCTGGACCAGAGCACAAAGATGTGGGCATAACACGCTGGGTGAGATTCTGGCCACAACCCTTTGTTCTGGGTTCAAAGGAAACCTGCAGTCAGAGGGCATACAGATGGAGAAGGGCATTCACATCAAAAGCTTTATGGCAGTGCTGCCGACCAGCTCAGAGCCCCAACTGTACACCAAGGCCCCACTGGGATAGACACCATACACACATGCCCTGACAGGTCTTCAGGCTGGAGTGCCACCACCTCGTAGAGGAAGGGCCAGTGCAGAAGGCTTAACATCTGCATTAACCTGACCATAGAGGTACCTGGCCCAGTGCTGGAACGGGTGTAAATCAGTATAGATCCAGTGGAGTCAGCAGAGCTGGGTTGATTTAAGACAGCAGAAGAATTGGATTATATTACCCTTGAGATGAGAATCCCAACTGCTCCCTGGTTCAGATATCTCAAGGCTTCCTCCCGTTGTTAATTTTCCCACATTCCTCTCTCCAGCCACTCCTCTCCTTAGCAAGGTATTTGTTATTCATCTGCCTTGCGTTGCCAGGCACGGCCTAGGGAGACAGCCAAGACAAGAAGCTCAGGGATGAATCAGTGCGTTGGTGGTGCTTCCTTCCCTGGAATCTGACCTCTGCCCCATGAATCGGGATGTCTCCCATACCATGGTCCCTCTGCCCCCACAGCCTGGGCAGCTCCAGGGTTGGAGAAACTCCAAATGCTGCAAGGGAAGGCTCATTTCTCAGGCCTGACAAGCCAGAAAGAGAGAGAGATTCATAGATTCATAGAGGTTAGGGGCTGGAAGGGAGAGACAGTTTGCACATGTAAGGCACCAGACCACACATCTTGGCCTGGAAACCAAATAGGAGAGCTGGAGTGTGACTACAGATGGCTGCTGTGCCACCAAGATGGGTGCGTGGCCTGTTTAGAGCCAGGAGAGTGGGGCTGGGAGACCTGGCATCATCCCCAGGGAGAGCTCAAATCATGAGGCTGAGGGGAAGCAGCACTCAGTTATATATCGAGTGACTAGATGTGGCAGTCAAGAGGCCTGGGCTCTATCCCAGCTTTCATCCAGACTCACTCTGGGTCTTGGACAAGTCACTGGACTGCCGTGCCTCAGTTTCCCCATCAGTAAAATAGGCATAGCGCCCTCCTTTGTCAGGTCCACATGTCAGAGGTGCTATGCAAATACAAACTCATCGGCAATCTGTTACTGTGCCATTTGCACACGCTCCTTTGTCAGGTCCACATGTCAGAGGTGCTGTGCAAATACAAACTCGTCGGCAATCTGTTACTGTGCCATTTGCACACATGCACATGCACCCTGGACCTTGACAGGCATCTTCAACATCTACACACATTGCATACCACAGTGTGCACTGACATGCACAGACACACGAGTATGCCCTGTACACACTCAGCTGGAGTGATTTACCACAGTGTGCACTGACATGCACAGACACACGAGTATGCCCTGCACACACTCAGCTGGAGTGATTTTGCTCCCATTCAAGTGTAGATCTAGAGTGCCTCTATCTAACTACCTAGAGAGGCAGATGCGGTCACCAGACCATACCCCCTACCACATCTTACTTTGTTTCCTTGCACACTCCTGGTGCCAGCCTGAGAAGCTTTGCTCTCTCACTGATGCACTGTTGGGTCAGTCTGAAGCTAAAGCTCCCTTTCTCTCCATGTGCCCGACCCAAAGTCCCCATCCCCAGAGATCAGACATCAGCAAAGACACATAAGGCATTTTCAAACTCAGCAGCCCATGATGATTCCCCTCTCCATCTCCAAGGAAGCTCTTCTTCCTTCTGACAAACTTCCTTACCTATTGGGGTCACCTCTGTAGAGCTCCGTCCGTCCGTAAGGGGCTTCTTGGTATTGGTTTTCTCTTTCTGCAGCAGAAAACTTGTTTGCCGGAGTGAGAGGCAGACAAGGAAGCATGATTCACGCTTGCACGCTCATGAGCTAGGAGGAGTTTCCAGTGGGAACCCCTCTCGGGGAGGGACGAAAGCTTCAGGTTGGTTTTCAAGCTGCTTATTGGCTTCCAGCTTGTAGGTGTCCTAGAAGCATCTCAATGGCCTGCCTTGAGGTTAGCTGCATGTGTGGGACATATTGGTATCAACAGTCTTGGTCCCAGCTGGTCTCAGCGATGCAAACAATCCAAGACATGGGGCCAGCAATGGCATGTGCTATACCCACCTCCTGCCAGCCCTAAAGAGGGCTCCACTACTGCCAGAGCTTGCTGCCATGCCTCTGTTACAGGTCCCATTTCCATGACTGGCTAAGGATGGTCTGAGCCTGCCATTTCACCCCAGAGCTCAGCAGCTGCACCCACTGCTCCTGGCCAACACCTATTCATCCAGGATGATGCAGCCTGCTGCACAACAAGGTTTGTTCGGATCATGCTCAGGTGCCTTGGGGCTCCGGTACCTGCAGAAAAAGGTGGCATAGGGAGAGCACATGGTTCTTCTGGACCTTATCAGGACCTACCACCAGTGGGGAAGGAAGCCCTCCAAATCTCCAAGGAAGCTCTTCTTCCTTCTGACAAACTTCCTTACCTATTGGGGTCACCTCTGTAGAGCTCCGTCCGTCCGTAAGGGGCTTCTTGGTATTGGTTTTCTCTTTCTGCAGCAGAAAACTTGTTTGCCGGAGTGAGAGGCAGACAAGGAAGCATGATTCACGCTTGCACGCTCATGAGCTAGGAGGAGTTTCCAGTGGGAACCCCTCTCGGGGAGGGACGAAAGCTTCAGGTTGGTTTTCAAGCTGCTTATTGGCTTCCAGCTTGTAGGTGTCCTAGAAGCATCTCAATGGCCTGCCTTGAGGTTAGCTGCATGTGTGGGACATATTGGTATCAACAGTCTTGGTCCCAGCTGGTCTCAGCGATGCAAACAATCCAAGACATGGGGCCAGCAATGGCATGTGCTATACCCACCTCCTGCCAGCCCTAAAGAGGGCTCCACTACTGCCAGAGCTTGCTGCCATGCCTCTGTTACAGGTCCCATTTCCATGACTGGCTAAGGATGGTCTGAGCCTGCCATTTCACCCCAGAGCTCAGCAGCTGCACCCACTGCTCCTGGCCAACACCTATTCATCCAGGATGATGCAGCCTGCTGCACAACAAGGTTTGTTCGGATCATGCTCAGGTGCCTTGGGGCTCCGGTACCTGCAGAAAAAGGTGGCATAGGGAGAGCACATGGTTCTTCTGGCCCTTATCAGGACCTACCACCAGCGGGGAAGGAAGCCCTCCAGTGCCGGAGAAGTCTGTCATTGTAAAGCTGACAAACACTGTCCCCAGGGCCATGCCAGGCTGATGGTCAGGAGGCAGAGGCTGTCCTATTCTACACTGCATGATCTGTAAGGCAGCCAAAGGCTTTACTATTGCACATTCGAGTCAAACTGAGCCCTCTTTACCCCAGTTCCACTTTCACTCTCCAGCCCCGCAGAACAACCGTCCTGCAGGTTACAAGAGGTAGCCCAGGCTCCAATCCCTCACGTTATCCTTCTGTGCGTCAGCACAGCCATGAACAGAGAACACAGGGAATCAATACCTTTCACCAGGCTCTAGGACCCTTCCCCTGCTGCTTCCAATATGGTGTGTATGGGATGGGGGATCCCCAGGAAGGGTGGTGGGGGAGGTTAGATGCCCCAAGTGCAGAGGAGAGAGATCAAACCAGCTCACCAGTGTCACATGGAGGAGGGTAGACACCTCCAGGGATGGGTAAGGAGAGGAGGAGGAGTTCATCTCTGAGCCCACAACGTGCCCCTCGCTCTCAGTCATTCTGGGACACAGATCATAGAATCATAGAAAAATCACAGAAAATTAGGATTGAAAGGACCTTGGGAGGTCATCTAGTCCAACCCCCTGCTCAAAGTAGGACCAGCCCCAACTAGATCATCCCAGCCAAGGCTTTGTTAAGCTGGGCCTTAAAAACCTCCAAGGATGGAGATGCCACCACCTCTCTGGGTAACCCATTTCAGTGCTTTACCACCCTCCTAGTTAGGAAGTTTTTCCTAATATTCAGCTTAAACCTCCCTTGCTGCAACTTGAGCTCATTGTTCCTTGTTCTGTCATCTGCCACCGCTGAGAGCAGTTTAGCTCCATCCTCTTTGGAGCCACCCTTCAGGGAGTGAAAGGCTGCTATTAAGATGACATGAGCTTGAGCAGTCTCAGCCCAAACGGCAGAGCCATTCCCCTAATTTTGGCCCCAAAAGCAGAGGAGCCAAGGGGCGAGGGGGCCAAAGCTAAGAATTACTCCTCTTGTTCTTATGGGGCTTCCTCCCGGCGGGGGCTGAGCCACTCTGGCAAGCAATGACATGGTAGGAGCTTGTGCCACAGCTGCATCCTGCTGATCAGAGGACTCCAGCTACTGATGGGGCAACATTTTGGCCTATGTAGGCCAACGGGCAGGGCAACAGGGGGAAGCTCGAGAGGTCCATCCTTTTATAGGCTCCCCCAGGTGCCTGATGGCCTGAAGGGGCCCTGTGGCTTGCTAGGAAAGAAGCTGTGAGTCTGTTTGCTCGGTCTTCCTGGCTCAGGCCAGGTTAATGCCTCTACCAAGCTCCTTTTGGATCCTCTGCCGCTGCAGACATTGCACGAATTTTCCCTCCCCACCTTTTAATGAGGGGGTGGCAGTTAATTATTTCCCAGGGCATTCATTAACAACCTCTCCAGCCACGTCTCGCTCCCCTCGTGACCACCTGGCATTCATCTGCTTCCTGGCGCTCTGCATTTTCTCCCTTGCAGAGCAATATAATCAGGTAGGGAGAGCAAGGGGATGACTCAAGGAAGGAGCAGCTGGACTTGAACCTGAGGGCTGCTCCAGTGCTGGACGCTAGGTGGCACCCCCGTACAGCACAGACGTGGCGCTGGGCACTGTTGTGTAGCCGGTGCCACATATCCGATCCGTTTCTTGGTTCTCTGTTTGATCCGACTATCCCAGGGAAAGGGAAGGGGGGAAGGCTTTTAAGAGCCTTTTGTGCGTTCCCTTCCCCTTCTGCCTCACCAATGCAGGAGGTTCCCCCTCATGGCATTTCTAAAGCAAGAGATGCTCCCAGATCTCCCAATTCTTGTTCTACAAGTCGGCACACCTTCCCCTTGCTAGCACAGCCCGCAGGCTCTCTCTATTCTCTGGGCCGCTCTTTACTGCAATACTGAGAGCGCTCTGCCATCCTTATATAAGATCCATCACGCTGCTCGGGCTCCCCAAGCATTCGCAGGTCTAGCAACGAGGGGCTAGATTTTTTCCAAGAAGCTCAGAAGCTTTTGGGGTCCCTGCCCATGTGGGTCACAGCCATGTGTTAAGTGTCTTTAAAAGCTGGGTCTTTATTTAGGAGTCTAAGAGGGAGATGCAAGGGTGGGGGTGGGGGCGTGTTTGGTGGGACATCTTGACCCTAAGCACTTTTGACAATCTGCTTTAACCAGCTGTGACTCATCTCTTCCAGCCCTGAAATGCAGCAGCTTCTGGGGTGAAATGCACTGGCTGTTTAACAGCGACACGCCCCAGTATCACACAGATGTACGGGGAGTAAACATGGAACAA